TAGTAGTAGTAGTCGTACTGGTAGTAGTAGTAGTAGTAGTAGTAGTAGTAGTAATAGTAAGTAGTAGTCGTAGTAAGTGTAGCAGCCATAGTAATAGTAGAAATAGTTGTGCGAAAAGTAGTAGCAGTAGTAGTAGTAGTAGTAGCAGTAATAGCAGTATCTGTAACAGTAGCACTCGTAGTAGTAGTAGTAGTAGTAGTAGTGGTAGTAGTAGTAGTAGTAGTACTAGTAGTACTAGTAGTAGTAGCAGTAGCAGCAGTAGTAGTAGTAGTAGTAGTAGTACGACGTAGTAGTAATAGTAGTAGCAGTAGTAGTAGTAGCGGTAGAACAAGTAGTAGCAGCAGTAATAGAAGTAGTAGCAGCCGTCGTCGTTGTAGTAGTAGTACTAATATTAATAGCAGTAGTAGTAGTAGTAGTACTACGAATACTAAGAGTAGTAGTAGTAGTAGTAGTAGTAGTAGTAGTAATAGTAGTAGTACTAGTAGTAGTAGTAGTAGCAGTAGTAGTAGTGGTAGTAGTAGTGGTAGTAGTAGTGGTCGTAGTAGTAGTCGCCGTCGTAGTAGTAGTGGTGGTAGTGGTAGTTGTAGTGGTAGTGGTAGTGGTAGTGGTAGAGGTAATAGAAGTAGTAGTAGTAGTAGTAGTAGTAGTAGTAGTAGTAGTAGTAGTAATAGTAGTAGTAGTGGTAGTGGTAGTAGTAGTAGCAGTTGTAGTAGTAGCTGTAGTCGTAGTAGTAGTAGTAGTAGCAGTAGTGGTAGTAGTAGCCGTAGTAGTAGTAGTAGTAGTAGTAGTAGTAGTAGTAGTAGTAGTAGTAGTAGTAGTAGTAGTGGTGGTGATGGTGGTGGTGGTGGTAGTGGTGGTGGTAGTGGCGGTGGTAGTTGTAGTAATAGTCGTATCGTCCCCCCTTTAAATTGACCCCGATGCCCTCCCGATACGATTTCAAGGAAGCGGAAGAGGCACCCGTGTGGTGTTCAGAGGGAGCCGATTGTCAAGAGCCCTCTTCCTCCTCGTCCTCCTCCTGTTCCTCCTGTTCCTCCTCGTTTTCGGGATCCTCAATTCTCTCCCTATCATCCTCCCCCGTCGTCCTCACTATCATTACCCACCTGTTCCTCTTCATCAAGAAATCAAAGACCGAAGGCTGCAAAAAAATGAGAACACCACAAAACAAAACAATACGTACGCCGGGGGGGGGCGCGAGTGGACGAACTATTGAATCAATTGTGTTTGCTTCTTCGTTTTCTCAATTGAAAACTGTTGTGTCAGCCTTCGGTTTTTGATTTCTTTGGTTGGTTTGTTTGGTTCTCTGTTTTTTGTTTGCTTTCGCTCCCCCCCCCCAGCTGCGAAAGGCAAAGAGTAGGAGGAGGAGGACGAGGAGGAGAGAGAGGAGGAGGAGGAGAAGGAAGGAGGAGGAGGAGGGGAAACCTGCCAAGGCTTCCTGGCCCGTGTAATGTGCTGGAGAAGGAACCTGGAAAAAAAAAGGTTCCTCTAAAGAAAGTTTATGAAGTTTGGTTCCCTCCTCTAGAGGGGGCTTCTCTCCTAAAGTCTAGGACAGCGTTATCACTATAGAGGGGAGTTCCCCTTCCAGAGGAGGTTTCTACAAGGATTGTTTTCCCAATAGCTCACCTCATAGAGGGGCTTCTACAGGGCGTTCCCCCTCTAGAGGGGCTGGTCCACACTTTAGATACAATCGCTTCCCAATGGAATTCCAACGCCATCGGCTTCCAAAAACGTATCTATCCAACCGATGCCCGATCGGATTCCAACGCAATCGGTTTCCATTCGGACTCGTGTACAATCGGTTTCCACTACGATGTCCTACAAACTTGGTTTCCAATCTGGTTTCCTACACAATCGGTGTCCCACTGGTTTCCTCGACATTGGATTTCCGAAAGAAAACCTTTACAATCAGTTTCCAAAAAGATCCCCATACAAACGATTGCCAATAGGATCCCAATACATTCGATTCCCAAAAAGGCTCCTATACAATCGATTTCCAATCGGGTTCCTTGACAACCGGTTTCCCATAAAATTCCTACGTTTCGATTTCCAATCGGGATCCTCTACAATCGATTCCCAAAAGGTTTCCTAACAACCCGTTTTCAATAGGATTCCTTTACAATCGGCTTCCAACCGGAAGTATTTTTTACAATCAGTGTCCAATTGGTTTTTTTTATTATCGGCTTCCAATCGGAATTCCTGCACAGTCGGGCCCCAATAAGATTCCGACGCAATCGACTTCCAAGAATAATTCCTTTCCAACCGGTTTCAAATGAGACTCCTGCACAATCGACTCCCAATAAGACTGCTACAAAATCGGTTTCCAATACGATTCCTTTGTAGTCGGTTTCTAATAGAAATTCCCTATACAATCGGTGTCCCATTGGTTTCCTCGACACTGGATCTCGAAAAAGAAACCTTTACAATCAATTTCCAAAAGGACTCCTATGCAAACAATTGCCAGTATAATCCCAATACATTCGATTCCTAATCGGGTACGTGGACAATCGATGTCCAATCAGGTTCCTTTACAATCGGTTTCCAATCGGATTCCTACGTTTCGATGTCCAATCGGGTTCCTGTACAATCGGCTTCCAAAACAGATTCCTATACCACCCATGTTCAATAGAACTCCTTCACGAACGGTTTCCAATGAAATCCTGCACAATATGTTTCCAATAAGATTCCGTCACAATCGGTTTCCAATAAGAACTCTCTCGCAATCGGCATACAATTGGAATTCCCATTCAAACGGTTTCTAATCGGATTTCCTATACAATCGGTTTCTAATAAGATTATTGCGTAGTCGGCTTCCAGAATGGAATTCCTACACAATTTGTTTTTAAACGAGGAATTCCTATACAATATGTCGTCAGTATGATTCGTTTACAACCAGCTTCCCAAAGGAATTCCTTCACAATCGATTTCCAAAATTCCTACACAATCATTGTTCGATTGGGATTCCTTTACACTTGGTTTCCAAAAAGATTCCTGCACAATCGGTGCCCTATATGATTTCCTACACAGTAGGTTTCCAGTAATGCTCCTATACAACGAGTTGCCAAGTATTCGCCGACGGGCGCTCGGGCGTTTTTTGGGCGCTTTTTGGCGCGATAGAGGAGTTGGCGGAGACAGGCGGGCATTGTCTGAGAGCGGCCACCGCCTCTCCCTTTGTGAACCTGCGCCAGGCCTCATCCTCCACCGAAGGGGCCGCCGTCTGTAGTTCAGGCCGCACAACGGCGCGTTGGCGGGCCAGCGAGTGCGCAGGGCAACGGGACACGCCCCGACGATCTCGAGCCTGAACGCCCGCGGCGGCGACTCGACATCGGGTCGGCCCCTGAGACTGCACCGATCTTACATGGGGGCAACAGACGCAGGTACGACGCGGGCGCCCTTGCGATGGCGGGGGGGCTGAGCGACTATCCCTGATTGATAATGACGATGTAATCTTTCTTGATTTTCAAGGTGGCCTCGCTGAGTTCGATTGTGCCTGCAATCATGGCAAGAGAGACCGCTGCTGGCAGCGCGGCGCGCTGGCCGCCTGGCTGAAGCAAAGATGCGCTAATTGTTTGTTATCCAGGGCCCGCGAATTACCACGAAGCACGGCGCGTCGGTGACGGTGGTAGTGCACATCGCCGATGACTGGAAACAAACACACACTTCGGGGTGGCGGGTGCGCAGCGGCGGGGCGGTGAGAGAGAGCTCGTGGGCAGGTGAAGTGTGAGAAGGAGCAATGGGGGAGAAAGTAAACGGCCTCGCTGACGCTGTTCCGACCTCAGAGGGGCGCGCTCGGGGGGGGGGCGCCCCAGGAGCAGCCCGACGCCCCAGCATGTAGTACACCAGGTTCACCACGCGTCCCCGTTCATCCTGGCGTGCATGACCGTCAGCCCGAGCTCACTGAAGAGGCACGCCTGGTCCCCGCGGCGGTGCCTCCAAGCCCACTCGTGAGCCCATTTCTCCAACGCCCCAGTGGAGAGACTGTCGATCGCGCGGAGCTGCGTCGGGATCCTGCGCTCGAGGTGCTTCCACAAACCATCCTGGAGCTCCGTGCCCCCGCAGCACGCGAGCACGCTGCCATCGGAGAGGGCCAACTTGCAGATCTTCACTCACTGCTTACGGCAATGCTTGACCCTGGTGTTGAGCGGCAGCCCCCTGTAACACCGGGCACCATCAGAGTGCCAGATGACCGCGTTGCCGCCGGCAGTGTGTTTGATCATGAGGTCCTCCGTCTCGGCGATGCTCTCGGGCCTGGTCTTCCCCCCTTTCGGCGTGGTGTACAAAGGGAGCGGGTATATCACCGTGGACTTTCGATCTCCGCGGCGGGACATGCCGAAGTAGCGGACATGGAGCAGCCGGCCATTGTTGAGCGTCACGGTGCGCAGAGTCGCAGCATCCACCTCGGAGGAGCAAGAGGAAGGGAGACGGCTGGGTTCGGATAAAAGGGAAAAGGCATGCGGGAGGAGACCTCGCACTGCCCAGAGAACACGACATCGCGCTGCTCCATCTTACTGCCGATAGCAATGACGTCGCGCAAGGCGTCAAAGACCTCCTCGCAAGTCCTGTGCGCCACTCCTGTCAGCTGCGCTGCGTCATCCTCATGTATCTGACATGTCAATTGCCCGCTTGCGAGCCACGCCAAGGCGGCGAGCTTCTTCATTGGGATCTCGTGGTCTGCCCAAGTCCCAAATGTTGCCCTGTTAAACTCGCGGCAACCGCGCCTGTAGCACTGCACCCCAGGGCGACGCTTGCCGCGGAAGTACGTCTTACCCAAGGGCCACTGGCAGCCTGCGCATTCCGCGTTGCGGAGGTCCTGGAGGAAACCGGTCTTCACGAGCATCCAGTAAGCGGCCGCGTCGTCCACGGCAAGTATCTCGTCAAACGTCCACCGCTCCGCCTTGGCAACCCGCCCGCGACGCACCGTATCAGCGCCTTTCTGCTCGGTCGGAGTGTAGAAAACGCCGGTGCGCTCCAGGGCCGCCCTCTTGCGCTTCCACGCTGCCCTCGCCTTGCGGGCCATCGCCAAACTCTTCTTCGACCGCTCCTGCGAACTCCGCTTGTTCCGCTTCTTCTGGCTGAACTTACGGAACTTGATCTTCACGGGAATGTTCGGAGTCGCTGCGGCGGGCCGGCGGATCGTGGCAGCGGCGGGCTTGCGCTTCGGAGTGCCGTGTGCGCCCACTGCAGCGCCGCGAACCATCGCTCAGGAAGTGGACGCGCGCCAGCCTGAGTGCGCGGGGGGCAGGAACTCGATCCGAAACGGCAACTGGAGTGGCAGACATGGGCTACACGGGGGCGCGTAGACGCCGCTGCGCACACGGCAGTCGAGCGCTGGAAAGGGCCAGGGGCGATCGCGGCATAATGGGACAGAATCCTTTTTTTCTAGCGGGCCCGACAGCTCGCGCATGATTGCAAGCACACGCACGGACGGCCAGGAGTAGGTGAGCGGGAGGAGGCGGGTGCAGGAGCGGACGCAACATTGCTGGTATCACGCGCGCAACTACTCCGAGAGCGGGGCGGCCTCAGGAGACCGAGGCGTCAGAGTTCATCTTCGGCTCCAAGCGTCTCTGAAACGTCTTGCTCATCCCGTCGTCCGTGCTGGCCCCTCCAACAGGCCCTTTGTCCGCCTGGTTTTCCTCGACCGTCTTGGTGCTGTTGGTAAACTTGTCCTTGAGGTCCTCGCCGCTGTAGTTCGGGCGAGCGGCCACCGCCTCTCCCTTTGTGAACCTGCGCCAGGCCTCATCCTCCACCGAAGGGGCCGCCATCGGTAGTTCAGGCCGCACAACGGCGCGTTGGCGGGTCAGCGAGTGCGCAGGGCGACGGGACACGCCCCGACGATCTCGAGCCTGAACGCCCGCGGCGGCGACTCGACATCGGGTCGGCCCCTGAGACTGCACCGATCTTACATGGGGGCAACAGACGCAGGTACGACAAGGGCGTCCTTGCGATGGCGGAGGGGCTGAGCGACTATCCCTGATTGATAATGACGATGTAATCTTTCTTGATTTTCAAGGTGGCCTCGCTGAGTTCGATTGTGCCTGCAACCATGGCAAGAGAGACCGCTGCTGGCAGCGCGGCGCGCTGGCCGCCTGGCTGAAGCAAAGATGCGCTAATTATTTGTTCTCCAGGGCCCGCGAATTACCACGAAGCACGGCGCGTCGGTGACGGTGGTAGCGCACATCGCCGATGACTGGAAACAAACACACACTTCGGGGAGGCGGGTGTGCAGCGGCGGGGCGGTGAGAGAGAGCTCGTGGGCAGGTGGAGTGTGAGAAGGAGCAATGGGGGAGAAAGTAAACGGCCTCGCTGACTCTGTTCCGACCTCAGAGGGGCGCGCTCGGGGGGGGGCGCCCCAGGGGCAGCCCGACGCTCCAGCATGTAGTACACCAGGTTGCAGCCCTGCGCATTGTCGAGGTAGTACTCCGCCTGCATCACCTGCACGAGCGCGGGGGCCGCGGGGTCAAAGAGCCCGAGCTCCCTGTTGCTGTACCGCAGGCCGTAGACGTGCCTCGGCGTGCCCGCGCGGGAGGGGTCCTCCAAGACCACGACCGAGCGGCCAGAGTGGACCTCCTCGAAAATGAGGTGCTCGTGCACGGGGACGAAGAAGGTCGTGGCGGAGTTGTTCCTCTGGGAGCTGTAGAGGGAGTTGTCGTTGACCTCTTGCATTGTCAGGACTGCCAGGTCCCCCGGAGAGAGGTCCGCCATCGTGGCGCCCATGCCCGCCCACCATGCCGCCGTCAGGAGGAAGTTGCCCTTGTCTGGCACGGGGGTCTGGAGGAGACAGATCTGGGACCCGCAGCCGTGCAGGACGGCAACGCCCAGACGATCGGGCGAAGTGCTCGGCCAGGATTGGATGGCGAATTCGACGCAGGAGGCCTCGTTCGCTGTGGCCACCGCCAGCCGCCCTGCACGAGTCACCGAACCCGTGCGCACCAGCATAGCAAATACAATCCGATTGCAATGTGACGCAATGCGATTGCAATGCAACCGATTGCACTGCAGAAGCGGCACATGCGATGAATTCGATTGCAATACAATGCAACGCAATCCGATTGCAATGCAATGCAATGCGATTGCAACGCAATGCGATTGGAATACAGTGAAATAGGGAGGGTCCAATAAGGCGGCTGTTGCAATGCGATTGCAACGCAGTGCATGCGACGTCTATGCATTGCGACTGAAAGGGGGGGACGGGAGGGAGGAGGGGGGAGGAGGGGACGGGAAGGGGGAGGAATGGAGTGTGGTGTTGGGGGGGGGGGGGCGCCCCCCCCCCCCAAAAAAAAAAAATCTTCTTGAAATTCAACTTGTTTTTTTTTTTGCTGGCGCCCCCCACCCCCCCCGAACCATGACGAACACCCCACTACAATCACCCCCCCCCTGGCGGCGGAGCGGGTGTCCACGCGCGGGAGGGCAGAGAGAGGGAGAGTGAGAGACTGAGACAGAGAAAGAGGGAGAGATAGAGAGAGAGAGAGACACGCGCGCGCGTACTCTTGACAAAAAAAACGCCCA